CTATCGTTGACCCGTTGCATAGGAATGCGAAACACGATTATAAAGTGCCGGGAACTGACGTAGTGATACAAAAAGGTCAGACAGTGTTGGTCTCACCTCGCAGTTTGCATTACGATGAGCAGTATTACCCAAATCCACATAAGTTTGATCCGGAGAGATTCTCCCCGGAAGCAGTTGGGGAGAGACACTCTTGTGCGTATATACCGTTTGGCGTTGGACCGAGAAATTGTATCGGTAAGTTTATTTCTCTAAAGTTTTGTTAAAATCTATCAGGATATTTTCTAACATCTTCATACAGTATTTCTTTAAAGATTGCAATAAATAAGGGATCAAATATATAATAAATACTGCCGTAAATTCTCAAATAAGTGTTCTGTGTTCTTATTTACATGTTGGCGTGTTGAAATTTAGTGAGAAAAAAATGGCTTTTACAAATTTTGGCTTATTCAAATACAAAATTTATTTCTAGTAGTCTTTTCTAATAAAAGTATATGAACTAACATTTCTTTGTCGAAATACTTCTATTGAAAATTAATTATAATAGCTTTGTTTTTTTTTAATTCGTGTTAAGGCAGAGTATCAGAAATGTACTTTTTTATACGATAAAATTAATAATTTTTGTCCATTTCCAGGTATGAGATTCGCGAAAGTTCAATCGAGAGTGTGTCTACTGAAATTCTTTTCGAAGTTTCGAGTTGAAGCGACGAAGCATACTCCCAAAGTTATCAAATACGATCCTAAAAGAACGACTGTGTCACCTGTAGGGGGAATACCACTTAATATTATACGCAGAAAGTAAAATTATATTAAAAACCTGACTGAGATGAGAGACCAATGCCATCTATTGGCTGCATTTTATAACAGACTTTTTAAAATCAAAATTTAAACTGTCAAAATAAATTTTATTGTCATAAAACACTTTCTTATTTTAGAATAAACTCGAAAAAATGAAAAAACAAGTTTTCCTTGTTGTAAAAAAAGTCGTAACGAGCAAGATTGGAAGTCGTTTTACACTATTTTAAATTTTACTTCTAAAATATGTGTTCTGTGGAGATGTAATATATCTTATGACACTCCTGGGAAGAATAGGAATCAAATGACACCTTATTCATAAAAATCAGTTCAGTCGTTTAGGCTGTAAACCATTACAAAGTCATTCAAGAGAGAAAATATATACTTTGTCAGTCGGGTAAAAATCATATATTTGTATTTTTTTACATTTACTGTCGCACTAATTTTTTTTACTAAGTAAGACAGCCTTTTCTTTGAAATGGGTTTATTTGGGTTATTATTTTTATACGTGGATCTTTTCAAACGAATACTGCACGAATTTATGGAATATTGTATTTTTTATTTGGGTTTTAATAAAAGCATTGAGAAAATTGTCTTATTTTATCTTTTTTTCGTGTTCTTTTATAGAATTTTTTTATATTCCAACATTCTACATACGTTGATAATATAGAAAAATATTTTTTTGTCAATTTTCTGAAAATTGTTACAAAAAAGATTTACTAATAATAATTTTTTATATGGATAAGACACTGGAATTAAACGTGAAGATTCACACTAAGCTCGTTTAAGTTTAAAACATTAACAGTCGGCTAAGTAATAATGTAATTTTAAGAAAATTTTGAAAAAAAATCTATTTAATCGACGATCACGTTTATTTTAGGAAAGGTTGAAAAATAAAAATAAATTTGAGCAGAAACATTTTTATTTTGTACTTAAAAGATTTATAATTTATTTTGTAACTTAGCTTAAACATAATAAGTACTATTGTGCTTAAAGTTGACTTGTGCCTTGGATGACAGTTTTCAAACCTGTCGGCTTTTGCTTCGGCAATCTGCGAACAAACGCATAATCTATACTATTATAATAAAGCGTAAACACACAATACTTAGTTACGTAGGATGTCAGTAATCACAGTACATTTTTTAATAACTATTTTAAACAAAAAAAACGTAAATCGAAAAAAGTAATTTGAAAAAATAAGTAACAGTCAACCGACAAACAAGCTATCAAGGAAGCAACATTGCCATGGTAACGGTAATTTTTATCTAATGTCAAAAACATACTAGCTGTTGCCGTGCGGCTTCATCCGCATGGGATTATAAAAACTGCTTTCTTGTTTACATTTGTCAAATTCTCAATTGTCAATGTCAAAATTTAATGCACACATAACAAAAAATGGCTTTAATTTATTTTTCATGAATAATTATTATAAAGATGCTGTGATTGTAGACATCTTACTAATATTATAAATGCGAGAGTTTGTAGCCCAAACGTCCTTGAACAGATTTCGATGAAATTTAGCATAGACGTAGAGGATAGTCGGGAAGAACATGCTGCTCACTTTTGTTTTTTTTATTCCACGCGGACAAATTTGCGGGCGAAAGCTAATTCCTACATAAGTAAGTGTTGTGTGTATGTATGTACGTGTGTACCTGACGTGTATGAGCTTGCGCGGCGAGGCGGGGTGCAGCAG